GGGGGGGGGGGGGCTGTGTGAGTAATTTGGTTAGGGGGGAAGGGAGAAAGGTTGCCCCCACCCCAATTTAGCTGGTGTTATTTGATGGAAGTGACAATGCATTGTGTGAGTCAAACATTAGATCCACTAAAAAATGTTGCAACAGGGAGTAAATAGTTTGAAGCCTCAAAGATAAGGACATGGCAACATCAGTTAAAGTTGAGTAAAAGCTTTTTTGGAGATGCTTCATACTGCTGAATGTTTTATGTGGTTACACTACTATTTAGACAAAGGCTCTTTTTGTCTTGTTTAGCCTTCCTGTGCGTCTCGCTTACTACAACCTTCATAAATCAAAATTCAATACAGAAATGTCCTGTTGCAGCCTTAACAACTTATTTTCTTGATTGTTCTCTTATTCTTTGATTCTATAAAAAGTTGTGAAACTTGCTCATTATAACTTCTTTAGAGCCCCAAGTGCTTCTTTCAATTGCTTGCATGTCTAACCACCAATCCAAAACATAAAGAAGTTTCATTTAATGTCATGTCTGACAAAACAAGCGTAAAATCTTCAAATCTTTATGTTTGAGCAGAATGAAAGTACATTTTATGGTATTTTTGCTTGAGGTAACCAAAGTGATAACACTAAATGCCAAATTAATGTAATAAACAAATCAATGCAGCTTTAGGTTATTTGTGAATGTATATTATTCATGCATTTCTCCCTGGCATTTGAAGCATTTAAATATGTGTTATACATTTTAAAAAAGAATTTGCATTTCGTTGTTTTGTACTTTGAGATGCAAAAGAAGTATGTCTGTATGTTTAGGAGGTCCAAAGAGATACAATTATTTTGATTATTCATTATTATTTCACAAATGTTAAGAGTTAAGGCAAATAACTGAATTTACATAGCAGAACCTTTTACTTCTTTCATAAATCAGTCAATCTAGTAATGTCACATATAACCGGCATATATCAGTCAAAAGGGGCATTGTTCTGCAGAACAAGTACAGTTTGCTTTTTTTACTTCTGTTCAATACATTTTTAATGCAGAATTTATAATGAAGGACTTTTAATGTTGTTTTTGTTTTGACATTTGTTGTCCTGCGACTGAAGTAAAGGAAATAGTATTTCTTCCAACCACTGGCAGCAGTCTGGCTCTCCTATGACCTCCTGAGCCGGTGACCGTCCAGTGAACTCACATTGACCCAAAACTGACCGGCCCGTCCCAAACACAGACCACCACAACGTCACGATCTGCTCCGTGCACAGCACCCTGTTTACTGCTGAGTTTACTCCTGCCAGAGAAACTCCCCATAAAAACTCACACTTTATAGGTTGTTTAACTTATACTTTAACTTCCCCTCTTTGGCACAAATAATCAGTGTGTAAAGCAATTCAGAAATAGGTTGTGAAACAATATAATGTTGTTCTACTATGAAGAAATATCTTCTTGTATTGCATCTGTGTTTGAACTGTATCTAACTTATTTGCAATGGAGACCGACATGGTTGTAGTTATTAAAATAACATTAATAAACTCAAACCATTTATTATTTCTGCTTAAATTGTTAAATAGGGGGTTGAAATAAAAATGTTAAAGTAAAAGGTAAGGACCTTCATACATGATTAGAGGAAATACTAACATTTCCAGTACACATTAAAGCATACATAAATTGTTGGAGAAAATGTGATATGTGGGCAGCAAGACACAAAGGAGGTCATGAATCAAATATACTTTATTAAACCTAATTTCTTATAATTTTGTTTGATTTGTACCTGTTTTTGAGGCGATTTATGGTCTTGCAGCTCCTGTGTGTCATTGAGGTTGCTTCAAAAGCAAACCTAAATTCTACCTTAACTTTTAGCCTTTATTTGGATTAAAGTATATTTGTTCATTTAAATGTTGCTTTATGGCCATCATTTAATTATTTAACTATTCCTTTCATTGCATAATTGCTGCAATTTGATGTATCCCCTCTTATGTCTATCACTTGTCATCGTATATTATCTTTGACAGTTTTTTTAATTTATTTTTACAATATTTTTTTTTTTTGTGTGCATTACTTTTAATGAATTGCAATACTTTGTATGAAATGTGCCATACAGAGATTGCAGTAGATTTATCTATGTCTGTATGTAAGCTATAAGATCAGTGCAGCCTGATGTTTTCAATTGCTATTCCAATGGGGAACACTATTGTTATAAATAAATATCCATATGCAACCCAGCAAGACTGATTACCAAAATGTAACATTTGTATGATCCATATACCTGTTGATAATATGTTTTGGATTTTCAGCTTTTTTTACATTTGTACACTTAACCACTTTGTACTGCAACTACTGCAGAATATGTTCCCTCAGGATAAATGAAATGTCCATCTTATTTTATCTTATCTTAGCACAACAACTGACCTTTAATGTAAGTAACAGACCACAGTCACATAATCACTTGAATATTCAGTCGAAAATGAATAGATGCAGGACAAATATTTAGTTATTAGATGAAGTCTTATAAAGAGTAAACGTATGTGTGGCAAAAATAATAGCACTATAATAGCATTTTTGAGGGCTCAAAATATAGGCAAGCACACATTGTGCAAACCCTCCTGTGAACCCAAACCCAAATATATGAAAACAGATTTTGGTTAACATTGCAAAAAAAATGGGACATGGTAACATGATATTTTAAGAGGCCATATATACAAACCCGTTTTTTCTCATACTGATGTTCTGAACAATCTGTGCTATTGTATTAGCTGTAAAGTGTCTCTACTGTAGGCTATTTTTATTATATGAACAGCACTTTGGCTCGACCACAATTTTTTATAAATGTGCTATATAAGCAAAACTTATATTCAGCAACACATCACGGTTTTAAATGTTGACATCAGTTTTCACCTACATTGGGAGCACCGGTGCTGCTGCCAGTCCGCCTCGATCAGCTCCGGGAAGAAGGCTGCCAAATCTGGCTCCTGCTCCTGCAGCATGCACGATGCAGGGCTGGGGGTGGAGGAGGTGTACAAGTCCATGATTTCTCCGGGACCGAAAGCTTGAAATTCCACATAGTCAAACATGATCTGGTTTCAGTCTCCTCGACGATCCGCGTGGAAATGTTGTCCGCATGTGCAATCCTAAACAGCAGCGCGGGCTTTTTCCCTTCCTATTTGGAGTTCGATGCAAACGTTGTTTTAAGAGTAAAACATGCCTGTGTTGCTTTCAAAGGGGCGTGTGAGCGCTCAGAAACAAGACCTATATTTCCCACACACAGTGTTTGCATGTTGCACCGGAGAACACATCCAGATCTGGCGGCTGTTTAGCATAACAAAGTTAGTCCCGGGACTTCTTTCCTCTTATCTCTTTTTCTTTATTGACGAATGTCTCAACTCAACCTGCTTCATACTAGTTATGTCAGAGCGAGCGATGGTGTTACCTAATGTATGCAAGTGAACTCTCCATGAACCTCCTCCGCTGCTGCTGACCTTCAAATGACCCAGCCGCTGTCTGACATCACCAGGCGGCTGGAAACTAGTACTTTGAAGTCCTGTACTCAAGTAAAAGTATTACTACTGTAGTAGGATCTTACCTCCATCAGAGATGCACGTTAGAAGTATCACATTTTATGCAGAAGAAACAGAAATATCATATTTTTGTTCGATGTAGTCTTTGTTGTAAAAAATGTGGCGACTACATTACCCAGAATGCAACATGACTGTCGACGGTTAAAAATTCGGTGTGTTATACCAGTAGCAAACATTGAAATATTGTTTATAACTAACCACAATATCAAAATTGAGTGTAGAAATGTATTTACCCCACGTTTTGAATATCTTATTTATATAATTGAATTCAGTGTTAACGTACTGGATATAGTAAATGTAAATTCAAGCCCCCATTTCACTGGATTTGTATGTAAATTTATAGACTATAATTAACACTTCCAAGCCTTTAAACACCCAAAAAGTAATACAACTGTCAAACTGTTCTGCAAGATATTTTAAGAACAATAAGGTATGTGTTTCTCTCTTAAGTTTTTTACAAATATTTGTACATGTTTTATCTAATGAACTTTTTTTTCATTAAAGTGAAATCTTAAACAACCATTTCCATAAAATGCTCTAAATCATTTATTGTTAGTGCTAAATTATTAACAGCTGGTCTATGCTTAACATCCACGATGATTTCTGATAAATTATGACATGCACATCTACATATTGAGCAGATCATAAAGTATACATATTTCTTATCTTTCCTATGATACAATATGCTACTTTCAACCTCAAGAGTGGTTTTCTTCTGAGTTTCTGAGAAATGTACATTTTGTAAAGATTAGAAAGGAAGGGATATTTTTCCAATCTACGTATGAGCTGTTGGATGTGCCTTAAATGTATGAGATGATATCATCCCTCTTCAGTTTACATTTCAGATGAGTATTATTTGATATTTACAAATGACTCTGTAAAAAATATATACAAAATGTTAAAAAATATTGAACAATAAATGAAGTAGCCTACTCTTTCTCGCTCCCTCAATATCACCCAAATGCAGTAAGTAGTATAATTACAGTGGAGAACATTCAGGCTTTTAGCTCTGGATTCATGTTTTGCCATAAAGGGACGCTTGTCTGTTTCAAATAAAGGGCATCAAAGCAAAGCAGATTAACACTGATGTTCCAGTATTGGCATTTCAAGATTGAAACCATGTGGCCTTTTACAAAATCAATACTTTTTAGGCTCTGTTTCTCTTCATTTACGTCCACTTCCATTCCTGATCCTTGACTTTAAGTGAGAAATATTTGCAGCTTGGAGGATCCATGATTAAATCTACTGGGAGATAAAGTAGGTCAGCTGCAAGATGGGTTGGTGGGTGGGGGGAAGGAAATCTGTTCCACTTACAAATAATAGACCTAATTTACCGCATTCATCAACTGAAAATGACTGAAAACAACTTCCCTGCCCTAAAAAGCTTAAATAAGACAGAAAAACATAGAATAATTTAATGCATTGTTTAAAAAGTATGAATTAAAACGAAACCGAGTGTTGGAGCCGGGTGGTGCAAAAGAAGAAAGCTATTTTGTTAGAAAATATAAATACACTTGATCTCTTTCAATGCCACTGCTAACCCCATTGAGGCATGGAGGCAGCACAGATCCAATGTTAAAGGAGGCTAATTACTCCCAGTATCTCCCACACTCCAGGGAGGCGAGGTCATCCAGAGGACAGGCATGTGAAACATTCCTGCAGCCTGCTGCTGGACCTCCCTCCCAGCTCAGTCTTCCCCTGCCCTCCTTTCTCCTCCTTCATCCATCCTCCCCCGGCTCCTCATCCTCCTCCTCTTCCCTCGGTCCTATTTAGAATCGCTTACATTTTGTTGTTGTTGCTGGCTCTCTATCTTGATCGTTCTTTTGAGGGTTCACACTGTCACTTGTTTGCATTTTTTGGTAAAGGTTCATATATTCAGCCATTCATCAATAATTGTTTGTGACTGAAGGTCAGGATTGAGGATTAGGATGTGCGGCTGTGCTTAGGCAGAGTTTTGCTTTGAAGTACTGCTAATGTCAGAAAGCTGATGTGCTCACAATGACAATGCTACGTCCTGACAATTAATCAGATGTAATGATGGGTTGTACCAAAAGTACCTCGTGATTATTATTATTATTACCAAACTCCATTTGGATTAGCAGCAGAAGTGGCAGATTTGAGAGATGTATTAAGTCTGACTGAAATTGGGGTTTTATTTACTTGTTTTTTGTATTGTTTTTACGTCATGTGAGAGTGTTCAGTCTGTGGCTTTAAGGTTTTATTGTCTAGTGTTTCACATTTTTGTATTTCCTGTCAGTTTTTTCTCAATGTGTCTATGCTGTTTTAATATATTAATTGATGTACAGCACTTTTGTCAACTCTGTTGTTTTTAAATGTGCAATAGAAATAAAGTTAGATTGGATTGGATTGACTGCCCTGTATACCGTGGCGTATATGCTATGATTGATAGCTATTCAGTCGTCATTCATGACACCTTTTGTCTTTTGAAATTAAATATATATTATTTGAAACCACTCAAGCATGTAAGCATTGTAGACGTTGAAAATGGGTACATTTCACATTTTGAAATGCCTACTTTTAAATTTGAAGCATCGGTAGCTTTTACCTTTTTTTGGCACTGACATTAGGAACTGTTATGGTTGACAGTAGTTCTGGCATTAGTTTTGTCATAGTGGACCTGTCACAACAAGTTGGACAGTTTGGAAGTGCACACTTTGATCCATTGATGGCACCAGATGAACAATTAGAGGATGTCAAAAGTCACAAGGGTTTATCCAACAAGGACCATAAATGCCTCTACCAAGTTGCGTACTAATTATACTTTAGTTGTGAAGATATTGCAACAAACCTTCTTCTGCATTTTCAGAAGATTTTATGACAATTGATTCAGTATAATGTAATAAAATGTACTATAATACGTTACAAATATTACCCTAACTCTAAAACATTAAGAAATGTTCACTTTATAGTATCATTGTTATTTTTGAAGTTTCCGTTCTGATGTGCAGTCAAAAACACAAAACCCCACAATCACAAACCACATCTTGGGTTTGTTAAAGGTCTAAAAATCCTTTTCAGCTGTTCCCCCTTTTTGTGCATTTCCCAGTATTTTGTCTAAATATGGCGTTGCACCAAATGGTGAGAAGGAACAGAAAGACCTACTACCTAACAGCCATCCTTTTGATTCTTTACAACCAGTTGTAAACCTCCACTTGGAGCCTGGCATATATGGAGGGGTTATTTACTAGTGCAATATATCTCTTTATTTTCACTGACACACGAACAGCATTAGGACTGAACAGGTTTAAAATGACTCAGTAAGTCAAACTCCTCTTTGAAGTGTTCTAAAGGATGTCATCTGGCCGTTTAAACAACTGAAAATCAAGACAACTCTTGCTGATTGATGAATGGTTACTATGATTTTTTATTTGACTCTCCTGGGGTTAATAAGATTGTTGGTAGTTACATTCTCTGGCCTTTAGCTAATATGTAACTCATTTCTGACTGGCCTAACCAGTGACATTGGCTTGAATGAAAATGTAAAAACTGATTCATCCTTAATTCATTTTTTTACCTACAGTATAATGGATTAATCAACACACTCAATTATTTTGTTGATTAATGCATGCTTACTGTAGACACAAACATTACATCTACACTGAGGTAAAGCCAGAAAACATTTGCTTGACAAAACAAATAGTGTACTGGTGAACAAGTAAAGAAACATTTTGGATGTTATACCAACTTTCGCAAATAAATGTTTAAATAAAAGCTGTGACAAAGCTATTTTTCTTAAAAGATCACTCTGTTGGTCACTTGATACAATGCAAAAGAGAGTGCTGATCATTTGCAATGTTTTCCATGAAGGGTCTTCAAGGCTTTCAGATTTGCAAATGTTTAATTTGCGTTTTTAGGACACAGCACGGCATTGAAGTGAAGCTTTGGTGACTGGATATTAATCACAGAAAAACTGGCTATATTGCATTTAAATATGCCTCTAGGGTTTTCAAAAGCATCGTTGGAAATATAGCTCATCACTGGGTCATTATTAGAAGAAACACAGCATTCATCTCCGTAAATTGCATAAAGTTGGACAAACTTACCTTTGCCTTTAATTGTTTATTTGACTATGCAAATTATGAATTTATCATAAGGTCACCTTGTTTGGCAACTGACAAGAAAAAGCACAAATTACCTAATTAAGTACACAACAGAAAGTCACAAAAGAAAGCTAATGTAAGTAATTTTATATAAGAGAATATACTACCTGAAAAGTAAATGAAAATAGAATAAGAGCACAGTAAATACCAGTATAAATAAACAGAGTTTAAAGTGGATATTGCAGCTACATTAAGATCACTCTGACATCGAAGACTAAGCAATAAAATGGACAATGTAAGTGTTCTTTATCCAAGTGCTCAAGCCGGATGTGAAGAATGGCATTATTGTTCACATAACAAGACATCTGTTCAGTTGAGCCATGAGTTTAAAGAGTAACTCAACACCCCTGATAATATTTTCTTTATTTATCTGAAACAGAAACCGGCTTTCAACCAAACATTGCTTTTCAACAGTGTGAAGTTACTCTCAAAATGTGCAAGATGTTGCATGTACATTCATAAAATATTTCACAAGCTTGCCATGTATTCTGGTATTTTGTCATTTTCTCTGCTCAACATTTAGCCGTATATTGAGTTTGGTATGCAGAGTGCACTGTGATTGAAAATTACAAAATGCTTTGATTTGAGTAATTGATCTATTGGTTAACAAAATCATCTACATACATCATTATGGCTACAGGCATTCATTCTACTATTGGCAACGTCTAGATAAACACCAACACATCAATCAATCAATTAAAAAGAGCAAATCATCAATTTACTTCATCAGTATCTTCCCCTGATTTCACGGGTTGACTCTTCCAGCGCAGGGTCAAGTCAGCCGGTATCTTGTCCCTGAGAATTTCACGTAGCTGAAAAATAAAAGTTATAGTAAATCAATGTCAAATCGAACACTAGCAGAATAAGTTGTATTGACTCTTATCCTTTTCCTTCCATAGTATATTTTTGGTTGCCAAGCCATTGTTCCGAGGGTCCACTATTCCAAAACCAAAATAGTCCAAAAATATCACATTGGGCCAAAAGCCCATTTATCTGGCAAATGCCCCAAATTCCAAAGACCTGTTGCTCTGGAAACACACTCACTCCATGCACATGGCCAATTATTAAGCAGAACTACCTCATTGGACCATTAAAATGTTTTTCATACTGCGACTAAAACAAATACTGCCCTAATCTGCCTCTGATTGGCTTGCCCTTTCACTAACCCCAACTATTCTTACCCCTGATACCTTATCCTGACCAAACCAACCAGGCAAGGCAACAAGTACCTACCAATCCACCAACAATATTGGGAAGATCTCATGACATAATTCTGCTTAATATTAAACCAGGTGCTTCTGTTTGATGCAGGGGAATGTGTATTCAGGACAACTGGCACTTGTTTTCCCTGTTGAGCTTTCCGTCAAATTTGACTTTTTGTTTTCTTCTGATGCCTACGGTATTAATTCTGAGGTCTGATGCTCAGGTGTCATAGTCCAGTCTTGAAGTTTTGAAGCATGTTCAATTCATCCTTAGATCTAATCTATGTCTGAAGTTTGGTCACACTCTTTTTTTCACAAGAGATAAGAGAACGAGAATATGGGTGGGAGCTTTACCTGCTGTAGGACTTGTTGATTAGTAGCTGGATCTGAAAGGTCAGCATCAGTCTGAATCTTCACCCTCAACATCGTGATCTTCACCCCTCCAACTGAACAGTCAAACAAACACCAAATATGTTTGCATTGCAAGAAAAAAAAGGCAGATTTAGTATTTCTGAGATGTATTACGTTTATCACCTTGGCACCAGAAGGGATGCTCCGTGTAACAATCAACATCGTTCCACGTTTGGCCTCGTTCGTCAGCTACACAGTACTGGTTACCAAAATAGTTATTTGGTTGACCACTCCTCCAGTTTCTAAAGGAGCTGTTGCTGTTGTCCGACCACCTCCAAAGCACTCTGTACAGGCCAATCCACACAGAATGTTCTGACGTAATTGACAACATATCTGTGTTTTCTTGAGCGTTCTCAATCATAGCCAGGTCTGTGTGGTGTGCTCTGCAGTAGGTCTGGGCATCCTCCCATGCACGAGCTTGGGTGTCATATAAAGTATATGTTTTCTCGCCTGCAGGAAGTGTATCTACAATAGAAAAAAAGTTAGTTGTTATTGTTTCAAGGTTTTTCTTTTTTATAAGGTATGTGGTTAGCAAAAGCTTAGGAGATTTTAATGTTTGGTTTTTCGACATAACATAGTCAGTAATTAGCCTACTTTGAATGTGTCATAAAAATGGCTGTTGCAACAAGTTTCTAACAGTAATGTAGCCTCAGTTAGCTATTCACTTGTATGTAAGTCATAAAGTGGTGTAGAAATTATCTTGCTGAACAAAAACATAAATAATTGTACACCACAGAACTGATTTTCTGAAATATTTAAAAGTCCTTTTTTTCCCCAAGTAATGCTAACTTCCAGGTAATTCCTGCATCACTCTATACAGTAGGCCTAAAGGAAAGTTCTGATCAAACAGTCTGACAACTTTAAGTTCTTCCCTCTAGTTCTCAGAGTCCAAACTTATTTTGTTCTTACCGTCGTAACAAACAAAATATAGTTCCTTGTGACAGGCGTCATCAATCCATTTTCCTTCAGCGTTCCCATACACACAGGCCCGGGGGTGGTGATAATGATTTGGCCGACCTGTTCGCCAGTTTTGGTAGCCAGTTTTGCTTGTTTCACCTGTTGAGGACCATCTCCAGGAGTTTGCATCATTACCCATAATTCCCTTCCAAGATTGTGGATCATCAGACAGTCCAATCCAAGCAAATTGGTGCTGACTAGGTCTGTTTACCCTACGAATGTCAGCCATGCTTTCAAAGGTTGCCAGGTCGGAGTATTTCTCTCTGCAGTAGTGCCGAGCGCTGGTCCAGTTCATCAACAGGTTGACATAGTGGTACTCACGAATAACAAGAGGGCCATGAGAGTGTGAGGGCACGTGACCAAATCCTGAGGTTTTGTGACAGAGGGAACATTTGGCTGTGAATGATCAGAAATCATGTTTGGAACTTTTGATCTAAATTACTTGAAAAGGGGTTTTAATTTAAGGGTAACATTTCCAAATGTTTTGAAATAATGTTTACGTTGTGTTGCCAGCGAGATACCGCTACCTACGACTTCACATGCCATTGTGAATAATCCTTTCACAGGCCTATATTTCTTAGCTTTTGAATTCAATGGAAAACAATTAACTGTTATATTGTGCTAACTGGAAACCATAAACTGTCACCATGAAATTATATAAAGATAGTGTAAGTCTTACCAAAAATGACGAAAATCAAAAGCACTTTAGCATCCATTTCTGATTTCACTGAAAACAACCAAAAATGACAGCAAAATAAATAGTAAGAGTAACATTTGTTAAATGTTGAGTATGTTTGAATATAGCTTTAGGCTTGGTACAATATTTATAAAATAGTCGGTAGCAAACATTTTCAAAATTGATATAGATATAAAATGTCATAATGCCATGATACAAATAATCATAATAATATCTATGTCAAATAGAAGATATACTCACATGTAAAAACAAACTTGGAATCACAATGGGTCCAAATGTCTGCCCACCTCTTTGAGAAGTATCCTGTGCAGTGATCATAGGCTGTGATGGCTGTGATGCAGGGAAATATTTAAATATCCAAACAAGCAATACGTCATATGTCTCCTTGGTACGGTGGCCGGCAGGTGCAAATGCTGAACAACGGCCAAAAACGCATACATAAGCAGGAAACACCTGCAAATAATGAAATGAAAACAAATAAACCCTGAAAACAAATACAACAAAAAAACGCTGCATTTACAGAAATTATGCAAACTAAATACAACACACAAACCCCGAAAACAAACGCAACAGAAAAACGCTACAAACCCAAAAGCACACACAAACCCCAAAACACACAGTGCTCCAGGCCTCTAGGGGGCGCATTACGTGGAACAGATTGGTGTGTGACCAGACATAGAGAGNCAAAAATAAGTAAAAAAATATAACATACCGGAAGTGCTCCGCCTCCAGGCCTCTAGGGGGCGCGTTACGTGGAACAGATTGATGTCTGACCAGACAGAGAGAACGAACGAGAGTGATGGAAATTGAAGCCGGAGGAAAGAAAGTTGAATGAAGTGGACAAAGTCGATATATAAGAAGGTAAGTTTTGTTTTGCTTTCAAAGCTCGCCAGGTCAGTGTATTTAACTCTGCAGTAGTGGTGAGCCTCTTCCCAGGTCTTCGGCAGGTTGACATAGTGGAACTGACGGAGGATGCAAGAGGAGGGGATACAAAGTCCTGGGGATTGATGATAGAAAGAGATATATCTGTAGTGGCCAAAAGAGAGCACTAATATGTACAAATATGTAAATAGCACTCCAGATCTTACCAAAAAATAAAAAGATAACTTTCATGTTACAATCCATTTACGATTTAACTGCAAACAGGAAGAAAGTGACAATATTAATAGTTATCATAAACTGTACAATCACACAGGAATGTTCTCGTTTTCTGGTTTCTCTGGTGAGCACTCCTATGCTGAGATGTTGCAGAAATTCATTTAAATTAACATGGTGAGCTTATACTAAAAAAGGGAGATGTTTGGCTATTTTTCATAGCCTTATAAAGTGTGTTTCATAGTGGTAAATCAGGAGAAAACCTGTGAAATAAGTGCAGGTGGCCTACAAGGTTCTAAATATTTAACAAATTATCGTTACAAAAATATTAGTTTTATACTCAATCCCTGGGAAGAATTAACTTTGATAGTTACTCGTAATCATGGTTTTGGTGATTTGCAAGTCAAACGACATCAGGAAGTCTAGGCTCAAACTGGACTACATTTGTTTAGGGTGAACACGTACTGAAGCCATAGAGACTACATTTCAATGGGTAGTTTGGACCTAGTAAACTGAAATGAAGCAATTAAGCGGCACTGAAAATAACCTGTATTTGTAAACAATTTCTTTGCAAAAACATTTCCCAAGTTACAAGAGGTGCCCTGACTTGCAAATGTCCACTTTATATCTTTGGTTATGTTTCGCATTTGTCTGCCTATAAATCAGTCGAGGCAGAAATCTATTCTAGATGAGGGAAGAATACCACTTTCTTTACTGAATTGAGCTCAAAAAGGTAAAAGTGTAACCACTTAACATGTTGCATTTAGAGAAAACGGCACAGATATGATTTAAAAAAAAGGCTCAAATCATAGATTAAATATAACTTTTTTAAATGATTACATTTGGAAAAATACTTAATAATACTTGAAAGCTATAAGCAATTACGAATAAGAATATCAATCAAAGAAACAAGACTTGAATTGTATTCATTGCAGCTTTTACCTTTTTCGCAATTCTTAACATAAAAAAAGGAAACTTAAATCTTTATTAAAATGTATTGTTTTGCCTTGCTGACAGTATTGTAAATGTGCAGTGGTACTGTATAACATTATTTATTTATTAGAAGAAAAAAGGCATACTCACTCACAATAATTGCTGAGATCGGACCTCCTTGCAATAGATCCTCCAAATATGCAGTCGTCTGCTAATCCCCTTTGCTAATACTGTAAGGTTTATGCTCTTGTCACTATTTTCATATATGCAAAGCACAACCATAGGTTAGCTTACTATAGTTTGACCAAGGGCAAGGGAAAGGTCAACGATCTTTCTGCAACTACTGATTCATTTCATAATTGACTTGACTGAGGGCTGATACTCACTTTACGAATATAAAAAGAGATGGGTATTTTTCGCTTTGTAAATGATATGTATACATATTATACATAAACATGTGTCCCCTCTGTGTAAAGAGATTCTGAAATGTTCAGGAAAAATGGTTCGCTCACGTTTTGTCCGTTTCCATATAAAAACCTATCTGAAAATGAGCTGATCAGATTTTGGCCACTTTATGATGTCATAACGATT